TCTGTGAGATTCAAATATGTTTGACAAGATACAACAGCAGCAGGTAAGAATGGTAAAAAAGCAGCATTAATAAAAACATTTCTGCCATAATAGCCTACCAAATGATCATTTTCAAAAAATTGTAAGAAGTGCCCGTATATATATTTTAAAGTGCTTACCTACATAATCTCCTTCACAAACTTTCTGAATTGATAAAATACATGGCAAATGCTAGTCAGTTGGTTGTTTGGATTATTTTGAATGTTATAAACAGCAAATTTCAGTGGATTATTTGTTCTTCAAAAGCCTTTACAACTTTCTAATACTAGATAATTCGGCAAGGCTATACCACCAATTTTACTTGTTTATTATGAAGCACACTTGATAATTGTTCTGATATTGTTTAATGTTCCAGTACTATTTATTGAAAAGCTAAAAGATCTATTTGAAGTTCCATGCAATTGGGGAGTGGGGGTGCAAGCAAAAGCAAAGTAATGTGTCTAAAAAATACTTTCCAATACCTATGAAAGAAATAACCATGATTGGAATTTGTTCGTTCCAAATGAAATTAGTCTTTCAGAAGATGTCATCTTGGAACCAAGAGGTTGCTTGTCAATGTAAGATGGAGCTTTAGGGAGAAATCTGATGCTACTGTTGCTCTCTCTGACGGCTTGGTGCAAAGGTGCCTATTTTATTCTCATGCTGTTTGTAGGGGGAAAACCCCAAATATCTTAGGCTTAATAACAGTGCTGGACAAGATATGTTAGCTCATAAACAAGTTGTTGACTTTCAGGAAAAAGTGGCTATGGGTTTCTTCCATTGTCAGCAACAAGAGAGAATTAAGTCTGCCAACTCCTAAATTTACATATCTTTTCACACATATTGTAGAGCAGAGGTGGGGAATTATGGCCCTTTTATGATTTGTGGACTTCATCTCCCAGAATTTCTGAGCCAGCATGGCTGTCTCTGTTCACAGAGACTCGTGGACTCTCAGAGACTTGTGGACTGCTGTGGACTATGAACAGCCACAATTTCCCATGTCTGTTCACAGAGACTTGAGGACTTCAACTACCAGAATTCTGGCTGGCTCAGGAATTCTGGGAGTTGAAGTTCACAAGTCATAAAAGGAGCAGAGTTCCCCACCCCTGTTGTAGAGGAACAAAAGAATCCAGAATCCAATGTATCTAGGGCATTTTCTCGCCATACCATTTCCCTGCTTTTCATCATCTTTGCATCAGTAATAAAGGTGGGATGATGGTGAGGTATCTACAGAGACTTAAGTTTCTGAGAGTGGGTTTCCTTTTATATTCATGGACTTCTACCTGCTCATTAAGAAGGAGATGCATAAGATCTCCAGAAGCCATTTCTTTGTAATCACTGAAATTTAGTAGTAAAAGAAGATAAAAAATGAGTTCTGATTTGCTTGATATATAGGACCGTTTGTTTATTATACTGTTTTTCTTTTGTTCCCATTTGAGGAGATGCAACCATTAAAGATGTCAATTGTAACTTCTGTTGCATGTGTTTACTTTTATAAAATTTAAGTTTGAATTTAACATTGGCCTTTGAGCCAACTTTTGTTTCTATAATATTATAAGGGGAGATTGTAATTAGTTGAATGTAGATTGTAAATTAGTCATAGGTGACTATTGGACAAATTAACTATATTGAAATTATTTTCTATCTTTTATTTTCCCTTTCTGGGGGAATATCTTTTTGCTGTCAGAAATGAGCCATATTTCCAAATTCATCTATTTCTATATATACGCAAAACTATATTGCCCCATTTGTCAAAGAGAACCCTAAATTCACACACTTCTGAAGCAAGTATTTCTATATCTTTGTTCATCCCAAATCAAGTAAGGACAGAGATACAGCTACATTCCAAAAGTATAGCAGTGTTTGGAATGGTCAAATTTCAGTCTTCCAGTTTGGCTGAGATTTGTTACCATGCAAGCCAATAATTTTGGCAGCGTCAAATGACCATGTGCACCAGAAAGGTCATCCCACTCTTCTAATATAAAGATAGATTTATATGATCATAATAAAAAACTCTTTGAGAGCCAGTTTGGTGTAGTAGTTAAGGCATCATGCTAGAAACTATAGGACTATGAATACTATCCCACCTTGGACACAAAGCCAGCTGGGTTCCCTCAGGCCAGTCACTTTCCCTAGCCCTAGGAAGGCAACAATAGCAAACCATGTCTTAAAAAAAACTTGCTGAGAAAACTGAAGGGACATACCCAGGAAATCTCTGAGAATTTGATACAATTAGGGGGAAAATATTGTAGCTTGTATCAGATTTGTAGAAGTTTTTTTTCATTCTTTAGAGTTTGTATCAGTTCAGGAAGATGGGAAGGAATACTGATGTACCCCCAAAAATGATTCAACAAATTAAGTCATTTACTGAATGTGTTTAATTTTAACAACCAAAAAATTCTAACAGACTATCAATGCACATAAGTTAAAATTTAATTATCACTTAGTGATAACAAAGATCAAGTTGATTTACATGGAAAAAGAACATTTACAATATGGTAATCCTCATTCACATTGTTGATACCGCAATAACACCATTTTTTTTTTAGTTTTCTCTTACTTCACAAAAAGGCGGAAAATTGTGCTTTGTTAAGAGGCACTACAAGAAAAAATTCTTTTTCCAAATAGATATAATATGATGAATATTGAATAAATAGACATATATGCATTGTAATTCAGTAAAGTTCTGGCAAGACCACAGGCGAAAATGCCCACAGATCCACTTAAAAGAATCACTGCAAAATTAACAGTGAAATTTAAAATAAAAAGGCAAGATTCAGCATTGAAAAAAATACCTACTAAATTTTTGGTTGAAGTGTTTTTTAAAAAATCACCAATGCTGATGCCATCAAAGAGATGAATAACCTTATGAGAGATTGACCAATACATATATGTACTGATTTCAGCAAGAGTATTTCAGAGAAGAATCTGAAAAGATAATTTGAAAGAAAACATAAACCAGCAACTTCTGAAATGTTGATTAAAGCTGCAGCATACTATAGAAATGAAGTATGAAGAATCAGCAAGCCAACATTTTTTAAGAATATAGAAAATGGACACAGCTACAGATTTGTTGATGTCAAATACTGATTTTGGAGAAGTCCCTTTAAAAAACTTTAGAGGTTACTGAGTAGCTAAAATTAGCTTGTATTGCAACACGTCATCTCCCTGTTATGTTGTTAATGCTTTGAGTAATATCTATACAGAGGTTTGCTTTAATGACTGCCTTTTATACCTTTCAAATATATAAATAGTATTAACAGTTATATATTACAATGCCTGTGCAAGAACATAAAATAGCTTTCCAAGTGATATTGCATGAGGTCTTTGTTAAAAGTCACAAAGCACATGTCAAGAAAGAAGCGAGAAATCCACAAAGCAACCTAGACCCATTAGAAAGTCATACTTTCAAAAATATAATGTGGACAAGGAACTGAATACTGCTTGTATCAGAACCATGGCTTCAAAAATTGGTTGGAAACTATAGTAGATTGCAGCTTTAATGTTTATACTATTGAAGAGTCAGTCAGCATTAGTTCTGCTTTATGTAATTGAATTGCTATGCTAGGTCACTGGGAAAAGGTTTCTGTTAGTGTTGAGGAAGTGACTAAACAGAAACTGCTTGGCTTTTTCTCACTGTCTAGAAGTATTTAGAACACTTGTTCCCACAAACGTTGCCACACATTACATGAAAAACATACCTTGGGAGGCTGCTGGCTGAAAGTTTTGTCTTACTGATATAATGAGCCTTATGCACAAAGCTCCAAATGTAGTACAGCAATAATAAAACAAAAACGAAGGAGGCACGAAAGGAAATTTAGCACTGGAGAACTATCAGACTCTTTGACTAACATGTCAAACATGTCCAAAATAATGGTGATTCGCTTTAAAAAAATCATTTGTAAAATCTTTGTTGAAAAGCAACATCAACATATATAAACAACAATTTTCCTAACATCACTATCAGACAAAAACTAAAGGAGCAAGGAAGGAACTGCAGCTGCACAAGTCTCACTGAAATTAATAAAAAGTGGTGCAACAACAGTATAGATGATTTGCGCATTCGAAAAACAATACCACTATAAACTGTGGCTCAATATAAAAATCCACACAATAAATCTTGTAAAGCAACTGTTCATGAAGACCTCATTAAGAGACAAGTCTACTGTGCACTGAATTTTCACTGAAAAGTCCATGAAAATTCATCTGTTTGCTACAGAAATAATATAGAACAAAACATGCTCTGTGAATTTAAATGTGCATTGTGTACTAAAGTTTGTTTAGAAGTTACTTGGTTAAAATTATTTTTAAGGTGCCCTGATTTTGTCCCACATCTTCTCACTCCCTGTTTTATTATTTCTGGCAGTGTTGATTTAGGATTTTTAAAATGCATACCTCAAAAAATTACCCCTCAAGCTGCCAAAGTGGAAGCCATACTAATAATTTAAAAAATCAGGGATAAACATAGAAAATAAATAGATATTCAAAACAGTAACCACACCCTGAGAGCAGGCAGCAATTTATCTCAAAGCCAAAGCGACTCATTGTGAAGTGGTTTATATAAACAAGACTCATCTTTTAACAAGCTGATTTCACAGTCTTATACTTTCTGATTGTAAAGTTTAGTTACATCCCATTCAGATTTCATATATATGTGTGTGTATGTGTATATGTGTGTGTGTGTGTGTGTATCCACTTACATATGGTGCATATTATATACACACCATACACCTGCACACTGTTATTGTTTCCTTCATAAGTTGTTTCTTCTTGTAATTTGCTTACTAGAGGATCCTTTTGTAAGTGCAAGATTAATAATGATGTAATCCTATGTGAATTACAATTAACTGTCTCAATAAAACATAAAAAAGTGTAACACTCAAGTGCCTGTTACAAGGGAATGTCTGATTGAGCTATGCAAAATAATTGTTCAATTTGCACATATTCTATGCACGCTGGAAAATTCCAAAACACTTTTTTTTCTGAAAGAAGCAAAAAAAAATATTGGAACCATGTATTGCTTTGCCTGTGATATTTTCACATTATCTCTGCTCAGTCTCTGAAGTAGTTGGTTTGTTTTTTTCTGAATTCTCTTCTTCAGTTTCCACTTTGTACATTTCCTCAGAACTCTCCTCACTGTCATTCTCCTCTGACTCAGTCAGCAGCTCTTCATCTTTATACTCTGCCACATCTACCACTGTACCTAAATGCTCTTTTAGTTTCCCGTGATGCTTTACATGGTAACGCTGGTTCTGGAAGAATTTAATGATGGTGTGCTTGGGCAGATCCAACTGGGCAGATAAAGTGTGGATGGCCTCCTGGTCTGGATAAAGGCCAACGTCATGGATGAAACTCTGAAGGATGCCCAAAGCCTCTAATGAAATCTTAGTACGGGATCTTGGCTTTTTTTGTAGATGCATCTTCTGCAGGTGGGGGTGGAGCCTCTTCCCTTGGTGGGGAGTTTTCCTTTGCTGGCTGAGATTGCTGTCTATGAAGCACCTGCAAAATAAACAGATTTATATGTTTAATAAAAATTATATTCACACAAATCTAGCTCATTGTTAATCAGATTGGTATCTTCATATTTATCTCTGGTAGTCAAATATTTATATGTAAAAAAAGCTCATTTTATTGGTTTCACACAGTGGACAACATGAGTAGAGAGAATTAAAAAAAATTGTTAGGCTGATGAAAAGAAGACCTACACTTCAGATTTACAGCTCAAGTATGTTTACTAAAAACATGGGATAAGAAAAATGAAGCTTTGAGTCAGAAGGAAAAGCATATTCAAAAAATAAGAAATTATCACTGCTCTGCCTGGTCAGAGGAGGCCATAATGTTTTTTAAAATTAAATCTAAAGATAGATTTTGGTTCTAGAGGTGGATCTTTGGCATTGAGCTTAAAATCCTAGGATAATTTTGCTGTTATATCATTTATACCATTAATAGTACAAGAACCACAATACATTGATTGCTTTCATTTTTTTTCCTTTTAATACACAGACATTTAGGTTTAGGTGTATATATGTATACAAATAAATATTTTAAAAAACTGTGCAAAATTGCAGAAAATGCCCATCTGTTCCAGAATTCTATTCGTGCAACAGTTCCAATTTACGGAAAGCCCTCAAGCAAGATATAAGCAACCAGTATCCAGAGACAAACTGCCTCTGCCTTATCCTAGTGGTTATCAGATTGAATGTTAGCTCTGAACATTCTAACTGCAGTATTCTATGATTTCTTTTTAATTCAGTTGTTTACGAGATATATGGTGAAATTATTCAATTATACAGGATTTTTCATTACTTTTCACATTTTTCTTCTGCAGCATTTAAATTCACAAAGCAAATTATGACAATATTTGCAGTGAACACTAATACAGAAAATAAGAAATATATGTTTTATAGAGCTTATGACCCATTATATCAAGCAATATCAAGTAATAAGAATGGAATAAAATGTCACAACTGGAAATAAATGTTCCAGAAGTTTTGCGCCATCACTTTTCACCATTGTGTGGTCCAGTGATGTATTAGACAGAAAGAGAGGGAGTCAGGAAAGAAGGCAGGCAGGCAAGCCAGAAGCCAGATTTCAATTCTAAAACTCAGTTGTTGCTAGGTTGAGTAGGTCATACTCTCTTCAACTTTAAGGGCAACATAATAAGTATTACAATTATTTTATTCAAAAATGAAATTGACATCATCTGCTAAAAAAAATTATGCTCAGAAAAATTATGTTGCTATATATATTATAGCCATTACTTATTAAATAAGTAATAAAAAGTCTAAATAGAAGCTTATTTTCAAAACAACAAATTCACTTGTTATGAGATCTATTACTTTAATAGTGTATAATCAGCTTACTTTTTAAAAAGTAGTCTCCTAAAATTAACACTTTTTTTCAAAATCATAGGGTAACAAAGCAGCACTGATCTTAATCATCAACTGGTATCTATTTCAAGATGGATCATCACCGTATTGTACAAAGGGGTGTATACATGTGTTCATTATCTTATGGTTATGCTATGTATAGGATGCATACACCATTTTTAAAGATTAGTGTTTTTTTCCAGAGTTGCTTACACTTTATTAAGCACAGCCCGGACAGCATGGCAAATAAAAGTAATCTATATTTGTAAAATCTAATAGTAGATATGCACTTTGACATTGCTAGTGGAAAAAGCTACCTGTAAGTCATGTAATGAAATTCTGGATTCTTAGAGAGATCTTTTAGCATTTGTTTTCTGCTCTTAGGCAGAACTTGCTATGATGGCCTGACATCTATAATATTTCTGAAGGCCTCAGTGGGGTGTACTTATTTTTCACATAATTGCACTTCATATGTTTCCTCCCCCCTCTCCCCATTTCTATTCAACTATATTTAAAGACCAAGTTAAGTGAAAATACTTCAACTGCAAATAAAGCATGACTATCTATTGTCTCTACTTTTCTCTATATTTGACTGGTAAACCTCAGTAAAGTTATGCATATCTGCAGATGACAGTTCAGCCTATCACCATTATTGATGATAAGAAGAAACATCAGAACTGATTATAAATTATCGCCTAAAGCTATTACAGGAGTGAAAATTGATAAATCTCCCAGCCAATGTATTTGATGACTTATACTGAAGCTTTATATTCTAAACAGTAGCACTAATAATTTGACATAAAATTATTTATCTAAGCATGTTGGATTTCTCCCATCCCCATTTTGCAAAGTGTTAATTTCAAGGCCCCCTTCCCCCTGTTAAAAGAGGAGAAATATATATTATATAATGCCGTGGGGGAAAAATTGAGGGTTCAACTAGCCATTCTGCCTCACAGGGTTCAACTAGCCATTTTGCCTCACAGACTGAAAAAAGTCTGCCTTCCTCTTTTGGTATCAGTTACGTATTTTTAAAATCAAAGTTACCAATTATTCTGAACTTCAGAATTGTTATCAAGAAAAGTAAGTCAAATTTCTTACAGCATGTATAAACAAGAAGAAAAGTGACAGTTGTATCTGAGCTGAATCTTGCATCCACTACAAGTTGTCACTGATTGAGTATAAACAGCAAAGCCTGAAAGGATTGTATAAAAGCGGACTGTAACTTAAATACAATGTATTGTTTATAAATAGGTCAACTCTCTTCATTTATTTTTAAGTAATTTAGGATTATAATTCAAACATGGCTTTGATTTTAAGCTTTTTACTTTCACTCCTCCCTCTACCCCTTCATTAAGCACATGAGTTTTCTCTGCAATTGTGACCATCTGGAAATGACTTCCTATTTTTCCCTCAAATCATTTCCCATCTCCTTGCAAATCTGAACTGAAACATGTTTTCTACCCTAGCCACAGGTCTCAAATGTTTCTTTCCCTATTTCATTTCCACTTTAATGTTAAGGCAATACTGCAACCGTACGTGTACACAAATGACAAAGCACAAAACTGTTTTGTTTATTAAAAATTGTCTTTTCTTAGGTATTAATTTTCACTTTTTGAGGTATTAACTTGTTCAGATAGAAAATGTACAGATACCTAATATGATGAAAGCTGACTTTAAAAAGATAAGTGACTCCTATTAAATCATACAACACTGCAATATGTTTTGAAGGCCACAATGAAATCCAGCTGGGAACCATGTGTAAAAAATAACAGTGCACGCCTGCAGGGAAGGAAGTATGATATGGAATGATTACATTTAGGAAAATATATAATGTTGTATATCATTATGGGAATGATATGTATTAGTTGTAATAAACTAAGGCAGTGGTTTCAAACTATATTCCTGGAAAATCTGTAGTTCCTGGTAAAGATCTTTCAACTTCCTCAGTGAGAAGATTGGCAAATGGCTGGAGTCATTGCCATTTATTTATCCACCATAACTGATTTTCCTCTGCTATTGATAGCTAATCAAAAAATCTTTATTACAGAGTTGATATTTGCACAGCACAGTCTCTGCTTCCGCTCTTAAAAAGCTATCTGTTGTATGAAAAAGAAACAAGTAGAATCTTCCTCACCACATTATTTTCTAATTAGTAAAATCTTTCCTGCAATATAATCTGTTAGTAATGGCACAGTGTATCTAACCAAAATTTTAGCAACTCACACTGTGTGTGTGAGAGAGGGGGGGGAGGGAGGGAGGGAGAGGGAGAGGGAGAAAGGAAGAGATGCATTTCCTTAAATATTCCTTAAGTAGCTGAAGTTTACTAAGGTTACAGTAATTTTTGAAAAGACTAGGTTTATTACATTTACAAACTCTCCCAGATGACTGGAAAAAGGAGCCACATTTTTACATTGTTTACATCAAATCTCTCCATTCTTTGCTTTACAATGTGATTGCTTATTTCCTTTTTTTAAAGTACTGTAATGTACAAATGTTAAGTTCTCATATATCTTTATAAATATAAAACTTATTAGGTGTGTTCATATTAATGCCTGTAACTTCTGTAACTATTATTTGTATGACATGAAAGCTACTTGACTTGATCACAACTTTCATATTTCCATTTGTTGAGTTATAATATGCTTCCTAAATGATTGTATAGTATAGACACTATGAATCATTTATGAAGCAAGTCCCATTCTCATGAGATGTACTATTTAGCCAGACCTGTTAATAGATGGGAGAAAAGGAAACATACAGAAAGGAGTGCAGGAATGTTATTTTTAAAAATACTTGAAAAATCCATCCCCCACTGTCTTATCTCCTTCCTTTCATAAAAGATTACTGCTGAACACCCATATTTATTATTATTCAGAGCTATAATATTACACTGGAGATCCAGTTTGAGATAGTGGTTAAAGCATCAATTAAGAAACCATGAGTTCTAGTCGCCTCCTGAGTTACAAAAACCAGCTAGGTGACCTTAGACCAGTCACTTTTTCTGTTTTAGGAAGGAGACAATGGCAAATTGCTTCTGAAAAACCTTGCAAAGAAAATGGCAGGGACTTGTCTAGGCAGTCCCCAAGAATCAGACACATTTGAACAGAAAAAAAATTAAACTCAGTTAAGACACATTAATATTCCGAAGCTTCTTTGGCGACAGACCGAAATCTGTGATCGTGTGCAGTTTTGATCTGTGCTCGCTGCCGGAGCACCCCAACTGGCTGGATTTGGGGCTAAGCCACCCCATAGAGGTGGTGAAGAGGGGGGAGACCGCCAGCAGGGTCGAGGAGAGCCGCATCTCTCCTCCCCAGCTGGCTATTACTCCCTTTTGCGAAGGCAGTTGCAGCAGTGGTCAGAAATGGCCACCTCAAAGAAGAACTCGATTGGAAAAGAACGTGCAGGAGGAAAATAGGAAGATAAAGTTTTGGTTGACCGGGTTTAACTGAAAAAGCAACAACATAAGGTTCCCTGGAATTTGAACTATAAAGAATAACATTGTTCCCAAAGAAGATTTTTGAAGCAGCGAAGGAGAGAGGGAAGGGAAAGGATTTGGTGTTTTTTTTCTTTCCTTCCTCATATTGACAGCTAAGAGATTTAAGTAAGAAATTGGCAAAAATCCACTTTGAC